GTTTTACTGTTTGTATATTGCTCTCAGTTATATTCCACACTGTTTCTTACCAATCGATTTCTGTGATCATGAGAATAATAATGGTGATTTGAGCAGAAATTGTACTGTTCAAGTGAACTGTATTGATAATACTGTTGAATGATATAATTTGTCACTATTATTATTATTATTCGGATGAGAAAAACGATGTTCGTCGTAGTGAAGAAAGATTACGAATTCTTTTAGTTTTCTCATTGTTTGATAAAATTACCCATATTTAATTGGAGGTGTTTATTGATATTGTTATTGGTTTGCTGGAGCGCATGGGTTTAATTGATCGCACATGCAAACTGATAATGAGGTGTTATTATGTAGGTGAATGATTGAGTAAATTTGATATGAGAGTAATAATATCATTGGTTCATTCTACTTTTTAGTCTCGACATTGAGTTAGAAGCACCCAATAAATGGCCGATCTACGCTTGTTGTGAAGGTTCGAAGTTAGTCAATGTAACGATCGATAGTATCGTTCTCTTTTACGCTCTCTATGAAACCAGGTGAGCGTGATTATAATTATAGTCATTATTATCCTTTTGTCAGCAGTATCTGTATATTTCAGTGGTAATGTAGCCAACTTTTATTTGAAAAACTGAAAAGTTTTAATAATNATTCTGCTGAAAAAAATTTTACTTGAAATCTTAATTGAAAGTTATTTTGAAAAGTGATGGAAGTATTAGTATACTGATAATAAGTTGTTGAAGACATTTTTTGCGTGATTGTTTCGTTGGTTTCCCTGTGTGGTATTATGTGTGCAGGTGTGGATCGTTTGAAGAGTGTCGAGTTTGCAAAATGAAAAATTTATTCTTTTAGTCATAACATAGAGGTGTTTGGGTGATGGTGATGATGAGACTGTATTGAATTTGAGTTGAAGCTGAACGAGGAGGTAAGAAATTGAGATTTTTGCAGATCAATAAGCGAATTGTATTCGAATGAAGAGTTGGACGAAATGGAAGAAATTTTGCGTGCTGCATCGAAGCTGGTCAATTCAGTTGGTGAGTTTCGTTGTTATTTGTTTGTTGTTTTTGTAATTTGTTTGTCGATTCGGTTAGATAGTGTCATTATTTTTGTTTGAATGGCTTTGATATGGTTTAGATTGATTCAGTTGATCGATTGAGTGCGTGAGCGGTCAATCTGTCTTGGATATGGTTTAGATTGTTTTTGCCTAAAGACACATTGCCGAGCGGACAGTTTGCCTAACTTACGATATTTTAATAGATATTTCGCCTAATAG